TATGCTTTTGCTTTGTAGTTTTAATTTTTCTATTTGCTCTTTCATTGTACTGAATTATTACTCTTTTAACAGTGTTGTGTTCTACTACTACTCTTTGCTTCAAAAAATCAAGAAGAAAATCAATCAAATGCTGATAATGATTTGCAGCTTTCCACCTCAATTTTCAATTTTGATGTTCAGGATAGGCTTGAGATTATAATGAACATATGGATTCAATTGGGATATGTCCCTTCACCTGCAGAAGTGAGTAAAGAGGAAGGTATTGACTTCTTGCGGAGTAAAGGTGAGGCATAACCCCTGCATTTTGCTGTAGTTTGCTTTAGGTTGTGATTTTGGCTGATTTCAAAACACAATCGTTTATTGAGGTTTGGATTAGGCAGGGAACTATGGCCTATCAGAATTGGTTGCCCAAATCCCAGGGGTCAAATTGCAAGGCTGTCGATGATGACAATGCGATCTCTGAGTGATGAGGATTTCTACTTCATATGCATCGAGAATTTCTGCCAAGGATTGAGTAGAAGTGGACAAGTGAGTTTATCAAAGAAGTTTCATCTTGATTGTTGCATTGGTTGCTTGGCACTGAACTTATACTTATAATTTTTTTCTAATTGAAAAGTTGCAGCAAGGTATTCTTCTCTGTATGCGGGAAGGGGCAGGGACTTCAGATGTCATCATGGGTCTGTTGCAGGTAAACGAATTCCTTCCTCACCCCCACAAAAAAACCTTCCCACCATGGCGGATATTACCCTGATAAACACCTTACACCCATGCACCTTTATTTAAACATCACAATGACATAAGTAGCCCATCTCCCTCCTTGGATGAAAGAGATTCTTTTCACTACATTTACTTACAATTTCACTTAAAGGTTGATAACCCACCCACCATATAGGGTTGGGAGACCCGCTACTAATCAGTGGGTCATGCATGAGTTAATGGTAGGTGATTTGCTTTTGAGCAAAATCGAAAAAAGATGTATTGAAGGTGATTTGAATATCCTTTGATGCAAGTTTTATGATGGTTCTCAATGTGATACCTTGTATTTGTGTTATGTAGGTGTGTTATGTCCGTAAAGGGCTCCTATATAACAGGAGGGACAATATTTTAGAAGCTTGTGACAACCCAGATTTTGTTTTCAGAGACTGGTTTAAATTGATTGAAGATAGCAAGCGGTCTGCAAGAAATGATTTTAACCTGATAAATGAACAGATGTTAGGATTGGGATGGGCTTGTAAACATATTCTATTGAACACACAGGAGCAGGCTAGGTATAGTTTTGTGGATGACTGAGGATGTGCAAGTGTTTTTTTCTAGGCTTTGGTTTGTCATTCAAAACACAGGAAAAGGAAAGACTGAAAGGTAAAAAAGGAATCAAGTTATGAAAAATTTTGTTTTTCCTTTATTTTGCTTCCATTTATTCTTTTCCTTTTACGTTCACTAATTCACATGAACTCTCCCATGTTACCTATGTAGCCATCTGTCGTACTTCTCATTACCTCTTTTTCTTTCAAGTTTTCAAAACCAGTGATTAGAGGCATTGGGGGCACAAACACCCACATCCCATTCTCGAACTTCAAATAGGTAGGATTGTCACGCAACAAATTGAGTTCTCTAATTTGATATCTGCTTTATGTTATGCTTCTTTACACCGATGAGACAAGCAATGATCAATCAAAATAATGTCTTCCCTAGCTAAAAAGAGCGGACGCGAGGGCTCTTGGTATCGAAGAGAATGAACACATTCTTGATTACTAGGCCTGCAGCTACTTTTTGTAAACTCTCATATCTGTGTGATGGGATGGATGAGCAAACATTAGGTACTTTTTGTAAACTCTCATATCTGTGGGATGGGATGGATGAACAAACATTAGGTATAACGGTGACATCATGTCATTATTAATACACGATGTCACAATTTAATAATAAATCTGTAAATTGACAAGATAAATCCCATTGAGAATGATATGACAGGTTGGTTATTTTAATATGTGAAATTTCTCTGTTTATTTGTTATATTTTTATTGAATAGTAACAGTACGTGACAATGATGACGTGGTATTATTGTTACACCCAATATTTTTTCGGGCCGGGGGTGACGGGCCACAATGAAATGCAAATCATGTAATCCACCNATTGAGAATGATATGACAGGTTGGTTATTTTAATATGTGAAATTTCTCTGTTTATTTATTATATTTTTATTGAATAGTAACGGTACGTGACAATGATGACGTGGTATTATTGTTACACCCAATATTTTTTCGGGCCGGGGGTGACGGGCCACAATGAAATGCAAATCATGTAATCCACCGCTAGTATAATTTACAACATAGACCAATCTTAGCAGTTGCATTAGGAGATGGAATACTGCTATCCAAAATAAGAATATGCATACAAAGATGTCCAATCAGACAACAAAGTTGCCAGCCTCGGAAACGGAGGCAAAAGAAAAACAAATGCACTACATATCATCAATTCATCACTGCCTTCACTTCAACAAAGATTTCTACTGCACAGCTGTAATTTTACATAAAGAAGAATACTTTTGACTAAATCAGATTCATTTTCATAATGCATCGCAATTAGTGCTGCTATATCAAATCCCCAANACGGAGGCAAAAGAAAAACAAATGCACTACATATCATCAATTCATCACTGCCTTCACTTCAACAAAGATTTCTACTGCACAGCTGTAATTTCACATAAAGAAGAATACTTTCGACTAAATCAGATTCATTTTCATAATGTATCGCAATTAGTGCTGCTATATCAAATCCCCAAGATCGCAGTTGCACGAACATGTTACAAATAGCACTNCGACTAAATCAGATTCATTTTCATAATGCATCGCAATTAGTGCTGCTATATCAAATCCCCAGGATCGCAGTTGCACAAACATGTTACAAATAGCACTGCTGATAAGATGCCATTGCTTGGCAGGTTGATAGGACACAAACACGAGGTATTGCAAAAGTAACGTGCTCGGATATGTGCTAGCAGNTCTCATGACCTCTTTTTCTTTCAAGTTTTCAAAACCAGTGATTAGAGGCATTGGGGGCACAAACACCCACATCCTATTCTCGAATTTCAAATAGGTAGGATTGTCACGCAACAAATTGAGTTCTCTAATTTGATATCTGCTTTATGTTATGCTTCTTTACAGCGATGAGACAAGCAATGATCAATCAAAATAATGTCTTCCCTAGCTAAAAAGAGCGGACGCGAGGGCTCTTGGTATCGAAGAGAATGAACACATTCTTGATTACTAGGCCTGCAGCTACTTTTTGTAAACTCTCATATCTGTGTGATGGGATGGATGAGCAAACATTAGGTACTTTTTGTAAACTCTCATATCTGTGGGATGGGATGGATGAACAAACATTAGGTATAACGGTGACATCATGTCATTATTAATACACGATGTCACAATTTAATAATAAATCTGTAAATTGACAAGATAAATCCCATTGAGAATGATATGACAGGTTGGTTATTTTAATATGTGAAATTTCTCTGTTTATTTATTATATTTTTATTGAATAGTAACGGTACGTGACAATGATGACGTGGTATTATTGTTACACCCAATATTTTTTCGGGCCGGGGGTGACGGGCCACAATGCTAGTATAATTTACAACATAGACCAATCTTAGCAGTTGCATTAGGAGATGGAATACTGCTATCCAAAATAAGAATATGCATACAAAGATGTCCAATCAGACAACAAAGTTGCCAGCCTCGGAAACGGAGGCAAAAGAAAAACAAATGCACTACATATCATCAATTCATCACTGCCTTCACTTCAACAAAGATTTCTACTGCACAGCTGTAATTTCACATAAAGAAGAATACTTTTGACTAAATCAGATTCATTTTCATAATGCATCGCAATTAGTGCTGCTATATCAAATCCCCAAGATCGCAGTTGCACAAACATGTTACAAATAGCACTGCTGATAAGATGCCATTGCTTGGCAGGTTGATAGGACACAAACACGAGGTATTGCAAAAGTAACGTGCTCGGATATGTGCTAGCAGCATAAGTAGGTAAAAGCACCACATAGGAATGATACCTCAGCTTCTTGTAATCTGGCTGCTGCGATTACTCGTGGAAGGTAGGAAAACAAACCAAGACTAATGCTGATCATTAAACGCCTTTCATCGTCCTCATTTACAAGACCTTTTTATGTACAGTGCAAATGATGATGGCTAAACAGGGACCGACCCCAGCTATAAGCCTTTTGCTGATTTAACTTTTCAGTGAGAGAATGAACTCGCCTCAGTGCTATATAATGAGTACTCACTCATGCTGAAGTTGGGTCTCTCTTCGTCCCACTTCAGAATCTCCCTCGCATATTTAAACGTGTCATCAACACGCTTGGGCTCCAAACCCTTCACCAGTGAAACAAACAGCTTTTGCCCAGTGAGAGCCGAGTAGAGTCTCTTGAATTTAACAGCAATATAATGGAAAGCCACCTGACCCAGGGAGGGGCTACTGTTGATGTTGTTGCTGTTGCTGTTACTGCTGTTGGAGCGATGACGGCTCACCACTGGATGGAAATCATCAAACCATTCACACCGAGCCAGAGGAATTCGNTCACTGGATGGAAATCATCAAACCATTCACACCGAGTCAGAGGAACTCGTTCCATCTTTTCCTCAAACAAATCAAATTTGTTCAGTATTAGAAGGAAGTCCATCTGATCAAAGGTTGGATGTGTAACAATGCTCTCAAAGAATTTCCTGCTCAGTAACATCTTGTTTACCAAATCCCCATTGTCATCACTAGCAAATTGGTCATAGTCACTCAAGGCAACACAGAAAACAACAAGTCTAACATCTTCAAACATCTCTAGCCACTTGCAGTTTTCTCCAAAGCCTCTGGCTTGTACCCTAACCAGTTGAAATCTGAGTAACAACAGAAAAGAGAAGATGATGTCAAGAACAATTCAATCATCACATTCAAATACTGGCATACAACCACCATCGTCAGATTATCCAGCAGTTACCAGAATTTCCAGAGTATAAACAGAACAATTCAGTGGTAAAGTTTTGTATTGGAATACATGAGCAAGAGAAAGTATCTATTGCAACCAAATTAGGGTTCTGATTTCAATTTGATTATTGGTTTCAAGTGAAATGGGTTTTTTGAGATTTACAAGGTATGTTCTTCTAAAAATGGACCTTCAAATACAATATGTAAAACAAATTCGTCAATACTATTTCCTGCAAAGTAAAAAATTTGGAATCCATGCCTTATAATTATAATCATATTACACAAAAGGGAAAGTAAATGATAATCTCTTAGAGCTTCTTGTCTACCTAGAAGCCACAAAAATGCACCAATCTTTGTTGGTTATGCATTCATTTCCCTATTATCAGCTTGAGTAGTTTTTTGGGGAAAACAGATGGCCTCCCATGCACTATTTAAGCTGATGGGTCCCACTCTACATTGTAAAATGATAGGATCATTCAATGAGTTTAAGCTTAAAGTCCTGCCGAAAAGTCCAACATAATGAAATTTTACAATCCTCATGAATTTAAACATTATATTCATTGAACAAACTCAATCCTTCCAGTTATGGTTGTACTTCCTATTTCAAGAACTGGAGAAGAATCAGTTTAAAAAAAAGGATAAGTGTATCTTCCATTAAAAAAATTCCCATGGCACTATATAGCCATGTTTATTTTATAAATTTCTCCAAAAGAATGTTATTTAAGTATTCTGACTTAAAGTAGAGACCCATCAATGAACCCTACAAGATCATCCTCAATAATATTATATGCTTTTTATGGAACAAGGTTCATTGTTATTTTTCCAGGCATTGAAAAGATTCACAAATTAGGTTCCATCCCCCAACAAAATATTATAATTGCCTTGCATTTCACAAGATGGAAAGAAAAGGTGAGGAGCCCACTAGGAAAACCACACCTTTCCAATGTAATGTTTTGGTAATGTTGGATTAGGTAACTCATAGTCACTCTGCGAGTATACATGTTTCTCTTTTCTAAGCACCAAGACTTGCACTGCATTACTTGATTAACATGATGGCACTACGCAAATCATCTCATATAGCAAGTGCACAACAGCATATTCACTAGAAACACAAACATAAACAAGAGCCTACAAAATGGAAGCCGATTGGCAACAATGAAAGGAACTCTTTACAAACATTGCATTAAGCTTCAGTACCTACCTGAGCAGAGAATCTTGCGGATCAGCAGTGTCATTTTTGTCATCAGGTGATGGCTCAGGGAATGAGAAGTCCACACAAGCAAGCCCGTTTG